TCAATGTCGCTTTCTATCTGTTGCCAGGATCTGTGTGTTGTCTTGTGGTAAAGGTCCACTGCGAACTTGGAATCGGCATATTCCTTAGACGTTGGGGATGGACATGGGCGCCATCCTGAAGTAGGCGCTTTGGGTGCATGCTTCTTCTTGCGGTGTTTCCTGCTGTCTGAGATGTTATCCCTTACGTCAGAAGAAGATAGTTCAGTATGAGCACCCAAACACATCAGTGGTCGAGCATGTATATGTAGGAAAGCGGACAGGCTGTGTGTTGACATATCACCTCCGAGTATGTGTGTACATACAGTGAGGTACACTGCTGTGAGCATAAACCTAGGAATTGCATTTGAAATCATTTTCCTGGCAGTTTCTTCATCCATCGACTGTAGGCGTTGTAGACAATCGGGAGTAAACGATGATGCCCTGGCAGCCTCCACTGTGGTGAAATATCTATGGACAGGCGCGTTAGGGCTTTCATGCCTGTGAGTGACATCAATGATTACATTCATGTCACTGGTGATGGTGGGTGCCGGACCAGATGTGAGATAACCTGTAGTACCCTTCTTCTTGTTTAAGTACGGATCGCCAGTGTGAAAACGGCTATGGCTATGACAAAGAGTTGCCCTGACGTGTGAACGCAGGTAGTTCATAGCATCCTCAAATAGGATTTCTCCCCCGGGTGCAAGGCGCGCGCTCCGCGGCCTTGCATTCATTGCGTCGACTACCTGCTGGCGAGAGACAGAAGACGAAGAGTGGGAGAGGCTACAGGCGAAGTATATTCCCTGATCGCCAGTACGGGCGCCAAAATACACATCGCATTGGGGAGGGTCGCGCTGATACAGCAGCTGGAAGCTGCAGCGAAGCGACACAGAGGCCCCGGGGAATTGGCGCAGTAATAATGAGTAGATATACGCTACAGCAGAGCCGTTGGACGAGCTATTCGTCAAATTGATGTCGCCGTTGTCAGCAATGCCAAATTCAGGGATGCAACCTTTTGTGGATTTACCATGTATCCAAGACAGTAGGACACAGACAAAGGCATTCTCATGTGGAAGCACAGATTTGCACTTATATTGGCCTGATTTGAAACGCTGGAAAAGGTTCGATACGGTGCCGGGCACAAATTGCTTGGCTGTATCCTTCTTATATGACATCTCAGCATTTTCTTCCTCCAAAATGTCTTCCATGGGTTTTGGATGAACACTCATCTTACTCACCCTACATACATCAAAAGACGTAATTGTTTTCTTACTGGCCAGGCAGAACCACCGGAACCTGGAGGTCCGGTCGCCGACATTGCATGCATCCAACATGTTGGTTGCTGTGTTGTATCCTGCGCTAGAGAAGAATTCCATTAGACTGTCGTGTTCGTCATGACACTCGGGACGTGTAGGAACATGTTCATTTAGAACATGGTTCGGGCTAGTTAGCTTGACAAATTTGCGTTGCTCCTCAACAAAGACAGCGGCACTTGTAGGGACAGGTAAGTCATTTTCCAGTCTCAGTGGCGTATTTCTGTAGCATGGGGCAGTATAGACTAATAGATCATAAGCTGGAAAACAAGTGTC